CCAGATTCAGTGACAGACTGCAGGCTCTCGCTACAGAAAGGTCACCCCAATAAAAAAATTTACAAGCAATGTCTAAAATTATCCAGGCAGTTCCTCCCCCCCTGGGCCTCACTCAACTTACAAAAGCTACTTCGCGTGAGCTGCAAGCATGCATGAAATCAAAGAGCTCCCGCAGCACGCCTGCTACAAACTTGAGAAGTGCTCTGCTGTGAGATAATGGCAGTCCCCACGTGTGCCCACCCACAGCATTGCTGGGAGCAGTGCTGGGACCTGCTGGGGTCTGGGGGGTTGTGCAGGGACTTGCCACTGCTAGTGACAAGATGTCCAGCAGATAGGGCAGCATCCCACAGCTCCCACTGCCAGCACAGCAGCCAGTCCGCAGGCTCTGCTGATAGCTGCTCTTCTCTTGCACTAAGTGCAGCAGCTGCGGGAGGTACTGATGATCCTGCACCCAACCCCAGAGTGCAAACTCTGCCAGCAGCATCACCTGAGCACTCCTCACCTGCTCCAGGCTGAGGGCTGGGCTTTCTGCAGATGCTGGGCTGCCCGAGCTCCTCCATCCTCTGTACTCTCCCCAGCTTCCCCACAAGGAACTCGCTCACAGGCCACATCACCAGCACAAAGGTCATGTCACCCACCTTCACCCAGCAGGGCCATAGCACTCTGCTCCAGAGCAGGCGAGCACCAAAGATGACCACAGATGGGAAATACCACAGAGCATGCGGGTGCAGTTTCAGCCAAACTCTCCAACCAGTCCACAGGAACTGGTTTACAGCAGAGAAGTTGAAGCTTCAGCTGTTTTCCCATTCAGCCAGCACTCACAAAACCCTGCAAATTTGTACCTATTAAAAGCTTTACAGAAACCTAACATTTAATGAGATATTTTTCCCTCCAACTCCAACCAAGGGAAAAGTCACACTGCTCTCCACTTATGCAAATTTTTCCTTTGCACAGCAAGTAAATAGAAAGTAACAATTTGAAACAGATGATGAATTTGCTGGCAGCTTAGGGCAAGCTATGTATGGCTGAAAAACCATAACCAGGAATACAAGCCCTCTGCCACACTTTTGCTGGAATCAGTTACATCAGAGCAGACCGGAGGGCAAATCTGTTTTGGAAGGCAGTTCTCCATTGTGCTTTAGAAAGAACTGAACACAGGAGACAGAAATATTTTACATTTAAAATAGGTTATTATTTTTTCTATCTGTGCAGTTAGCAAAAGGAGACAAATAAGAGAAACAAAATCTTCCAACTGGCAGAGCTCACCTCCCAACTCCTGAGCTTCCAGCCCAGGTCTGTTTCTTCCAGCTTCCAGGCAATTAGTCAAGTCAAAGAGAATTAGTCAAAAACTTACAGAAGAGCTTATTCTTTTGACACCTGCAGAAGCCCAACTCAAGTAATGAGCTGCCTGACTCTAACACATTTGCTCTCAGGTTCTGACCAGGTATTCCCCCACGTCAGCACTTTGACAGTCCAAGCTCTCAGCAGTAAATTCTTCACTAGAGGTATTTCAGCAGGTTCCGGTAGCTTTTGGACATTATTTAAAAATGTGGTTGGCTTAAGGAAGTTGATTTAAAACAAGAAATTACAGTCTTAAGAAATTCATTACCAAACTCCCTTGATGTCTAGTGGTGGCCGTCCAAGATGATGAGATTTCCACGGGCTCTGAGCACAAACATTACATTTGGAAATGGCTCTGAGTTCTAAGGGCCACCCAGCTCTACACACTATGGGGAAAATGTGAAGCACTCCGACCTGAAGGCCTGGGGAAGCTCTGCAGGGAGCTGCTGGATCCATGTCACAGTCACAGAAGGAGAGGAAAGTGCTGCTGCTCACATCATGGAGCAAGTCTAGATAAATTGTGCATCACATCTGCCCAATTCAAGTTTCAGAGCAGATAACTCAAGGCCAGCTCTCAGCGTCCAGACTTTCTCCTCTCAATCACTGAATCCCTTATGGTGTGTCCTTGCCCTGACCACCATGAGTCCATCCCCAGGACGCACCTTGGGTGGACAGTCAAATGCAAAGACAGTGAAATGCAGCAAATCCCCTCCTGCCTCCACGCTCAGTGCACAGGACGACCCCAGAACCCTAACTGGATGGAAAAGAAATTTCTCATGAATAAACATGGCATAATATAGCACCTCTACCCAAAAAGACTTGTTCAGAGAAGTGGATTTCCATTTTTCTTAGTATCATCTCTGACCTTCATCTATGTCGGGTTCTTGTCTGGACAGCACATGCACAGAAGAAAATGCAGAAGTGAACTACTTCCTCCTCTCCAGCAATATACTGAGGGGACAACACTGGTCCAGAAAGAGCACCTAGCTGGTCCTCTATCCAAACAAAAGAAAGGACAGCCTGTAGAACAAGAGGCAGAAGCAGAATGTCACTGGCCATGCTCACAGCAAGAGGAATTGATCCAGGAAGGATTGGTATGCCAGGCAAGCACACTGAGACAGTTAAAAGCTTTGCTGTACAGCAAAATGGAAACTCCATGGATTGGAAGTGAGCGAGCAACCTCAGCTCAAGCTGCACTGAGTCAGGGCTTTGAGGTGCATTCAATCTCCTGGTGGCTGCAGCCTCCACTTACTGCTGCTGCTCTTGTACTGATGCAAGGACACGTACACAGGCTCCCACCAGCAGAATGCCTCCATACGAGCTTGTGGTGAATGAGTGTTTTTGACACACACTATTAACCTCCATATAGTTAAGTTTTTTCTAATGGATGCAGCTGCAGCACCCAAGAGCTCTGTCCTCCCAGTGTGGTGCCAGTGCTTCGGGGATACTTGTCGCACTAAACGATCACATTCAAGAAGAATAAAGAGGCTGACAGCAGAGAGCAGCTTGGTGTTCCCACAAGGCAACACAGCCTAGGAGGTTATTGTATGAAATAAAAGAGCAAGAAGTCAACCAAGAGGAGAAAATGGAGGAAATGGCCTTTCTCTAAGGTCTGCACACAAAAGGCAGAACACTTCAAAAGCCACTTGTGGAAAAGGTGACAAACAAAAAGGCCTCACTGGGGAGTCCCTTCCCAGAGCAGCTTAGGCTGTGCTGCTTGCAGAGCCAGGACAGGCTCCACCCCACAGACAATAGTGCTGTGCTTTGCTTCTCTAGACTTCGTCCACACACAAAGGTGCACAGCACTACTCAGATGCAGCAAGTGCATGGTTGCAGATATGGACATTCACATGAAGTGACTCTCCCAAGCTGGATTGCGCTCAGACAAGGGCCTTCATGGCTCTAGTGCATCTCTGTCAGTAACGCTCAGTGGCTCCCCAGGAGCTGCACTGTCCCAGCCGAAGATGCAGGCGCAAATCAGCTGCCCTACAGCCTCCCCAAGGCCAAGAGGCTCACCAGCCCTACACTACTAGACAGAACACACGGGTCCCAGGTGGGGACAGCAGAAGATGCTGACAGGAATCTGCTCCCCACCCCCAAAGAAATAGGTTGAAGCTGCTGCTGTGCCACAGGTCACCTCCCTGTTCCTTCATTCCACATGAGCCCTAACACCACTCTGAACCTGCTCTGATGAAGGCTGCCAACCTTCCAGCCCAACGGCCCACCCCAGCCCGCCTCAACACCACAAGCTCCATCGCCCTCACGCAGTCCCAGCCCTCAGCACCCCATCAAGCCCTGCCTCACGCAGCCTCCCATTCATCCACCCTAGCCTTACAACTCCTCCAGCTCGGCCCCCCTCCACCCCGTGCCGCAGCCCCTTTCCTCCTCTCCCGGCCCCATCCCGCCCTGTCACTGCCCCCGGCACCACCCTATCCCACGCCGCCCTTCTCCCCGCCTAGCCCTGCCATGCCTCACGCCCAGGGCCAAGCCTCGGTACCACCCCGCCCAGGCCTCTCACACGGCCCCGCGCTCCCTGCCCCGCTCCCCTCCCTCAGGCCTCGCCAGGCCGGAAGGCTTCCTCCTCCGCCCCGCCCCGGCCCCATTCACCGGCCCGGCGCCCGGCCCTACCCGGCGGCCGCGCCCTCGAACTTCAGCGTGAGGGTCTCCTCGATGATGCGGTTGTTCACCTCGAGCAGGATCATGTCGGTGCCGGGGATGGGGAACGGCTCTCAGCGCGCCGAGGCCGGAGGGAGCCGAGCCCGCTGCGCGCACCGGGGACCCGCCCGAGCCTGCGCCGCCGCTTCCGCTCTCGCGCCCGCGCGTCACTTCCGGCCCGGCTGCCGCGGAGCCGGGCGGTGGCGGCGGTGATGGCGCATGCACGAAGGCCGCCGGTCTTGTCCCGGCCCCCGTGACGTCACTCGCTGCCCCCGCCTACCTCCCGGGGGGCGGGACCGTGCTGGGTGGGCGGGGAGAGCAAATGAGGGGTGCCGCCGGGGAGTCATGGGGTGCGCGGGGAAGGGGGGTTGGGAGGAGCCAAATGGAGGCCAAAGCTGAGGGGTGCTCAGGGAATGGGGGTCCTCGCAGCCTGGGGGTGCCCTCGGGGGGGTGGGGTGCTGCAGGGGCCCCAAAAATGTAGGAGGAGACAGGGTGCCCTGGAATATGGGGTGCCTTATGTGCGATGATGCCACAGGGATACGGAGCCCCAAAAGTGGTACCCCAGCCGGCTCCCTGCTGCTGTGTCACTGACAATATGAGAGTGCCCCAGAATAATATGGGGGTGTCCCCGGAGTACAGGAGCATCCACAGGGTGGAGTGAAGCCCCATGGCTATCGGAGTCCCATAAACAGACAGTACCACATGCATCCCGGGTGCGGCGTGCCCTGGGCTGGGGGTGCTGGGAAGGTGCCCCTTGAACCGCTGCTTCCTCTTCGCACTGCAGAAGGTTTTGCAACCTTGCTTCCTCCCTGCGCTGCATAAAGCGGCGGTGTCAGCTCTGGATCAGGGTCACTTAGCACAGGTGTGGGACCCAGTGGCAGCAGTGGGTCCACGTCCCCGCGCTCCCCAGGGGCTCTGTTTTGGGGTGACGGCAGGGGACATCCTGTGGCAACCCTCAGCCAGGCCTTGGAGCAGCCAAATCTGGGAGCTGGGAAGGGGAGAAGATTTGGGGTGCAGCAGAGGCAGCGAGTGGCGGGTGAGTGCCTGGGATGCTTAGCTTTGGGGTGCAATGGGGCACCCTACGAACCTGGACAAGGGGTGCAGGGAGGGCTCCGCATAGTGTAAACCCAATTCCACGTAGGGTAACCCCAACCTTGGGGAGATCCGGTATCCCCAAATAGTTCTCTGTGTGGGATTGGGAGAGGAAATGGGGACTTCCCCTTCTGTGGGCAGAAATCTAGCCCCAGAGGAACTGCAAGGAATTTGGGTGGGGAATCAGAAGAAGCCAAAAATACAGTGGGGAGAAGCGTTTTTCCTCTGCTCCGGGTACTGTGGTGCGCTTGGGGAGCTGGCACGGGAACTGTTTTTAGGGAGAGCAGTGGGATTCAAAGGACTCATACCAACCAGGGGGACTCAGAAGTGCTCCTTCATTGGGGATAGACTTGGAGGGGACAGGAGAGGGGCAGTGCTGAGGTGAAGGGGTGCGTACGGGGCTGTTGGGCAGGGGGACGTGTGGGGGTGGTGTCCAGGCATGGTTCACTGTATGGTGCAGTGAGGTTATGGGGTGTGGGAGAGCAGTGGGGGCTGGAGGTGCAGGAGGTGCCCTGAGCCCACACTGCTTTGTGCTTTGCAGGCAAAATGGGGACATTTTATGCTGACGAACTCTTTGACATCTTATACAACTACACTTCTGACTATGGCAACTACAGCCTGGCTTTGCCTGACATCGATGGCTCCTCTTCCCCATGCCGTAATGAAGGCTCTGTAGCCAACAAATACTTGGTAGCCTTCATCTACTGCTTGGTCTTCCTCCTCAGCATGGTGGGCAATGGGCTGGTGGTGCTGGTGGTCACCTCCAGCCACATGAATCGCTCCGTCACCGACATCTACCTGCTCAACCTGGCTGTGGCCGACCTGCTCTTTGCTCTCAGCCTGCCGCTCTGGGCCGCCTACTGGGCCCACGAGTGGGTTTTTGGCACCGTCATGTGCAAAGCCATCTCGGTGCTGCAGGAATCCAACTTCTACAGCGGCATCCTGCTGTTGGCTTGCATCAGCGTGGACCGCTACTTGGCCATCGTCTACGCCACCCGTGCTGTCACTGAGAAGAGGCACTGGGTGAAGTTTGTCTGTGTGGGCATCTGGGTGTTTTCGGTGCTGCTCTCCCTGCCCGTGCTGCTGTTCCGCGAGGCATTTGTCTCAGACCGCAATGGCACGGTTTGCTACGAGCGCATTGGCAATGAGAATACCACCAAGTGGAGGGTGGTGCTGCGGGTGCTGCCGCAGACCTTCGGCTTCGCCCTGCCCCTCCTGGTCATGCTCTTCTGCTATGGTGTCACCGTGCACACCCTCCTGCAGACCAAGAATGTCCAGAAGCAGCGTGCCATGAAGGTCATCCTAGCTGTGGTGCTGGTCTTCCTTGTCTGCTGGCTGCCCTATAACATCACGCTGGTGAGCGACACTCTCATGAGGACGCATGCCATCACCGAGACCTGTGAGAGGAGGAAACACATCGACACAGCCCTCTCCATCACGCAGGTCCTTGGTTTTGCCCACAGTTGCATTAACCCCATCATCTATGCCTTCATCGGGCAGAAGTTTCGCAATAGCTTCCTCAAGATCCTGGCACAGCGCGGCTTCATCAGCAAGGATGCTGTGGCACGCTACGGCCGCACCTCCTACACTTCCACCTCTGGCAACACCTCCACCACCCTCTGAGCTCCACTGCTCCCCAAGACCTGGTGCATGCAGTCCTGGCACCCAACACACCCCAGCATCCTAACCGAAGACACAGCCTTGGGCAGTAGGCATGGCCCCCTGGCACACAGATGGCTGTTACTGTGGGCTGCACATGGTCACACTGCACATGCAAAGGCACATCAGCATGGGGGTCCCAATGGAAAGATGCTGAACACTGCCCACTCTCCCTGCGCTTTGGGATAAAGCTTGTGACTTTGAGGACATCACGGCCCCAGTGTGGCAATGATAGCTGCCCAGCAATAAAGGAGGTGGCAAGTTTTTCCACACTTGTATGGCTCTGACTGGGGGATGACAGGAGGGGTTGGGGCACGTCCCCAGGACACTTCTCAGCCACGGCACTTCCTGGGGACAGTGAGTGCAGGAAAGTGCTGTTACCCAAGAGGCTGTTGCAGAGGGTTTGCATCCTGCACATCCCTCAAGGGGACCACAACCTGGCATCACTCTGTGCCACCACTGAGTCCTTCCGTAGCGTAGGGTCTGTGTGTCACCTCTGTGCACCTGGGAACACGGCTGGGGTCAAACTCTCACCACCCCCTTCCCAGTACCCATTTGAACTCAAATAAAGCAAATCCCTGCAAAATCCTTTAGTGGCTGTTCCCTGTCCTTGGTGACGCTGAGCTAGCCCTGTCTCCCCCCTGCAATCCACAAAGGTGGTAGCATGTGGGACACCCCCTGCCCACAGCACTGCGTTGTGCAAAGAGCCAGGAACCTGCCCCTTACACAACTGGGATGGGGCAGAGGGAGATTTCCGCACTGGCTTGGGCAACTGGGGCTGGTACCAGAGCAAAGAGGGGCTTGTGGCCCAGCTTGGGTCCCTCCTGCCACCTCATATGTGATCTGACATCATGGTCCCTGCCCCAGCGTCCCCCAGCATTTCTCTATTGGGGTCCCACTCCACTCCTCTGTCATCCATAACACAGCTTCCTGGGATCCTTAATCCTAAGGATATCAGAGATGTGTGGGATAGCGGAGAGGCTGGGAACAGGATATGAAGGTTCCTGGCACTGAGGGAGGAGGAATTGAGTTGGACAGAGACAGCAGGGGGCTTGCACGGAAGCAAAGCAGCAGATCAGGGCCAGCCCATCACCTTTATGTCTGGGAAAGGTCTTGCTCAAGCGGTGCCTGGCAGGAAACCAAGGCTGTTGGCTAAGAGCCCTCTCCCCTTGCATACTCCCTGCGTCAGGATGGGGTGAAGCCTGTCCTCGGCAGAGACACCCCATAAACAGACAGTCCCCCCAAGGAGGGCTCAGACTTCCCCATAGCAGCATGCCCATTCCCAATGCCCCTCAGGGCATCAAAGCAGCAATGACAGATTGATGACACTGGAGCCACTGGGATGTCAGCACCGGGTTGTTTCTTTCTCCATGGGCCAGCCATGCAAAAGACATCACAACCTGAAAACCAGAGCAGCAGGACCTACCCGCTGGCCCCATGTCCCAGGCACAGCAGGTTGAATGTCCTCCCAGCTCACATAGCCTGTGGGTGCCTTTGCTGGTAGCAGAGCAGGCAGCATCGCCCCTGCTTCCCCATGTCCACGGAGCACGCGTGGCACACCTTGCCCTGGCACAGCCTGCTGAGAGAGCAGATGGTAGGTTTGTGGTGGTGGTTGGTATCCCTGCTATGTTCCCCGGTGTCCTCCTGGGCCCACCTGCAGCTGTACCGCCGGGACAGGAGGCGAAAATCCTTGCCACAGCGGGTGCACAGCCCCACATCACGGGGCGCTGGGCTGGGTGCTGGTGGGTCAATACCCTCTGTCTTCTGCCACAGGGCATCCTTCTCCCTGCAAGGAGGGGATGGGTCACCCTTGGTGAGATACTGGGCCACTGCAGGTGGGTTGCATGTGCGATCAGTATGTGTGTGTGCGCTCCTGTGTTTGACAGGCTCCATGCAACAGCCCCTCTGCAGCTGCTGGCTGTGCCCAGATTTATCCCATAAATCCCATAAACACACATATGACAGTGTGTCCCTGCTGTTGTCTCTGCACTGCTCATGCAGTGTGAGGTGTCTGGGAACACAGTCTGATGTGAGTGACCTAAGGTTGGCACTGAAGTTGGGCACCCAAGATGGGCACTGAACCTCCCCAAGGTGGCAAGTGGGATTTCCCTGGGCTTTGGTGCCCTCCTCTGGGCAAAGAGCTTTGGGAGCAATCGTGTATGTGTGGCTGCACACCCACTGGAGGGGGTGGCAGGATGTATACAAAGGGCAGGTGAGGGGGCAGGGCCCTGCTCTCACCGCAGCAGTTCCAGCAGCCGCCCCTTCATGTCGCGGATGAGCTCCTGCTGCCGTGCCTGCTCTGCGCCACGCATGGCCTCCCGCTCCTGCACCTCCCGCTGTGTCCGCTGCAGGGCTGATGCCCAGCGCTCCCCGTCCTGACGAGCCCTGGCATTGGGGCAGGTGTGGCACCTTTGAGCCCAGCCCCAGGGTGGCAGTGGGGAGAAGGTCTGCCTGTCCCTCTGGTGGCCACGTCTCCATCCATTCCTAAAGCCATCCACTGTCCATCCTCACAGCCATCTTAACATCCACCCTAGCTGTCCATCCATCCTTCCCTGAAGCCATCCCTTTGTCTTTCTGCCCATCCATCTATCCATCCATCCCTTCATCCATCCATCCATCCATCCATCCATCCATCCATCCATCCATCCAT